ACATATATGCAGCAACACAGGTCTTATTAAGTTATAATGGCCTTAAACTGGAAGATACTTGCCATAGTATATACATGATGAAAATAATACTCTCAGGTATTCTTGATTGCTTCATTGGGAATACATCTTAATGGATATACTGGTTATTGGTTCCTGCTGAATAGTTCTTTACTTTTACTCTTACAGAAGAAGTCATTCTGTCTAAGGTGAAAAACATCATGAGTTGTGTCCTTGATATACTACCTGACCAAGACGACAAGCTCAACAATTTCCTGAAGTAAGTATTAGTGTTTTCGAGCAAGGGGAAAGAGTTTAGAGAGACCATAGTAAACCTGTAGAAATTATACAGCACTGAGGACACTGTTGTGATTTGTAAAAGTCCACATTTTTTTAAATCCAAAAATTAGTCTGACGATAGTATTATGCTTAAATAGGATGTACGTACATGCAGATGGATTCTTCTTGATTTTGAGACACTCTTTTAGTGTTTGTTACATTTGTTAATTTGATCAATAACCCATATTCTAATTCTTGCACAACAGAAATAACATTGAACATTTGGAGACAGACAAGATGGAGGTGGTCGGCGTCTTTGGTAAAACGGGGGCTGGAAAGAGCTCTCTGATAAATGTCGTCATTGGAGTGAAGAATCTCTTGCCCTCTGGAAGCATCAGTGCATGTACCTCAGTGATGATTAAAGTGGAGGCTAACATGCAGAACCCAAAGTATGAGGCAGAAATCGAGTTCATTACAAAAGAGGTAAAATAAGCTAAATATGTTTGTTAACTTAGAGCTATTTCAACTTTTATGATGAAGCTGCAAATAAATATATATGCTGACTACACAACATGCCATATAATAAAACATATATTTTTTAGGAGTGGGAAGAGGAGTTGAATAATTTCCTTGATAATGATGATCAGGAAAAAGGCGAAGATTATCAAGACAGTGTTGAAAAGCTGTCAGCGCTGTATGGAAAATGGAGAAAAAAATCTCTTGAAAACCTCATGGAAGAAAAATACTTCAGAGACATTCCTGAATTTCTCAATTCCAAGAGTATGATTTTGACAAAGGATACAGTAAGTAAGACTAAAACTTATATCATTTAATTAAACAGACTCTTGATTGGCGTAGTTTCACGACAGAACACCCAATGCGTTCTGAAATCTACTTTATGCATCAAAGGAAAATAAATGTCTACCAGTAACTAACTCGCTTGCAACAACCTAGATATTTGAAGGCACTACCAGCTTTACATTTGAAATCATGTTAAAAATGTTAAACCTAATTGTTCCCCATTGCTAAAATATAAACGTAAGGTTTGCTACTTCTTGATTTAATTCAGATGTTGTTGTTTCAGTGATAGAGTTTCAAATGGACTTTTAATGTTATGCTGTAATAATTATTTAACACAATCTTTTAAAGCAATTTCAAGTTAAAGTTTGTTCATGTCAAATAAATGGCCTCTATTATTTATTTTTAGGCTGAAGATTTATCTAGAGAATTGGTCAAATACACACGAAGTGAGTCAAAAGAGGAAGATGCTGAAGAGGTGAAGAGGGGGTATTGGCCACTGGTGAAGTGTGTGACCTTCAGGGTGCCGAAGAATCGTCGTCTCCAGCACGTCACACTTGTGGATCTTCCTGGAAACGGGGACCGTAACAAGAGCAGAGACACAATGTGGAAAAAGGTGATTTATCCACATGCAATGCTGATTATTGTGGAAGGTTACACTGACAATGTAACCATTATTATTTGCTGTATTCCCCTTCAGGTTGTTGGAAGTTGTTCTACTGTGTGGATTGTGGCTGAGATAAATCAAGCAGCTTCAGAAAAAGAATCCTGCGAGATCCTGAAAGAATCCTGCAGGCTCATGGGAAATGGTGGCGAGTGTCAGCAGATTCATTTTATCTGCACCAAGTCTGATCATTTTGAAGATTCAGATGATCAGTAAGTAGTTTAAGATGCCAAAAGTACACAGTTAAATGTAACATTCAATTTAGACACTGACGCTTGAGACGGAGATGGCCAAGAGGAGAAACCATGGAAACATTGATTACGTTATTAGCCTGGTTTTGATCGTATTCAGGGATATAATGTTCACTTGAAACATGACAAACCAGGTTATTCATGATCATTACAGTATCCGTGTTTCTAAAATGTCTGCATGTGTGTCTTGATTCCTCAACATCTCAGCCAGTTATTTCTGTCCTAATGTTGTTGCTTCACAAAGACTTTGTGATGCTGGATTAAGCTCCTCCATGTGATCACTGGTTATTGAAAGTGATGAGTATGATGCGTAGTGATATGATATCCTGGAATGTATATGCAGTTTATGTAATTCTCTAAATACAAATCTTTTCATAAAGGTCAGCAGCTGGTGTTCGTGCTCAGATACTGAAACAAAACGAGCAAGCCAAGAGAAAAGTGAAGGCAGAATTCAGCAAACTAAAAGAGGTTAAGGTGAGTTATATTGAATAAAAACCAAACACTAATATTGTCCAAAACTGCAAACCTGCTTTTACATCGAAACTTTTATTTTATTTTTTTAGAAACAATTCATTGAGGAGTGTTTCAAGGTTTTCACAGTGAGCTCCAAAGAGTTCTTGAAAAAGAAACGTCTGGATCCAGATGAAACAGGTGATTCAAGTCTCCATAAGTGAGCCCGGATGACAAAATGGTTTTATCTCCTCCAAAAAATATGTAGAGATACTAATTGAGTATAACACTTAAATTCAAGAATGTAATGTAAGTATATTACATTTTTTACAGAAATTCCCAAACTGAATGAAATCCTGCAAGATCTCAATGAATGGCACTCTGAGACATTAAACTATGTGTCTGGAGCTCACGGGATTCTCTCTCTGATTCAGGGAGCCAGCAGCAGAGAAGGGGTAAGATCAAGTAACAACATATTTCATTGTCTTTAGAAAATGATAACATTATAATAATAACAAAATAAGTAAGCTGAATACACTAAAATGTTGTGTACAAATTGTAAAGCCAAAGACAGACTGCTTACATGTAATGTAACCTGTGGAGCCAACAAGGTATTGGATTTTCTGAGTTTGTGTTGCTTCAGAGAGGATGCATTGCTACACTTTTTAAAGGGTTTTGTACTTGTTAAAAAAAAGTCCCATATTGAATTATGGTTGTATTGCTTTAAATAATGAATGTGTTGTGTATGGTTTCAGGCTGACATAAAGATGAATGTGTGCAAAGGACTTGAAGAAAAGCTGAGTCTTGAACTTGATAAAGTCAGGGAACCCATGGAAAAGACCCTAATGACTTTTGAAAAATGCCTCAGTGAGGGGGTTGAAAAATCAAAAAGTTAATGTGAAAAAGTCTTAAAGTCGGTCCTTGATCCTGTAAGTATTTAAGTTGTAATTAAATCAAAACAACTGATTGCTCTTAATATGAATATGTCTCTTACAAAATGTGTTTTGTTTCAGGTAAGTTACGGGTCATTGAAGTGTGTAGTTCAGAAGGGTGGCATCCACAAACCAAAAGATGGGGAATTAATAAACATCAATATGAAGTTAACTTCATGTTTGACCGACAGCATTGACAAGGAATTTAAGAAGACCTTCCCGTAAGAAATTACATAATAAACACATAAAACCCTGTGTTGGATAAATTGTGTTTTACATTACATTTAAATACATTATTGAAATACAAATGTGTTAAGGCCTTCTGAATGTAAGCATTTATTTGTGTTAATATGTTTTAGAAATGAAGGAAAAATAAAACCATTCAACGGGGTCATCAATACGTTTTCACTTGGCACAGAGGAGCTGATGATGAATAAGGAGTGCGAAAATGTCAAACTGCAGCTGACATTTCTCAAGACAGAGGTAAAAGATCCTATTCATTAATCCATTATAAGATATGTTTGTAAAGCCAGGGAGACTGTAGTGGAAGGGTGAGCAATATTATTAAATATAATACATTTTGATCAGTCAACATATTCATATACATTGTACTGGAATAACTCAATATGATCTGGAGATGGCTTTGAAAAGTTAACTGCAGCTGTAAAGCGGACCCTGCCCCAAGTCATGAAGACACGCTCAAGATTACAATAGAATATTCTGATATTGGGCAAAGTGCACCCCCAGCTGGTGAACACGTGCTATCAGTTTGAATAATGCACTGCTTTTCCAGGTAAAATCGGGAAAAAATAATAAAGGGAAAGATGAGCCTTTTTTGTAACTTATTGATCTTAACATATATGTTGATATCTGCTTCACATTCTCTCTCTTAGGAAGAAAAAATGAAAACAAAACTCAACAAACTCATCCGTAAGCGAAAGAAAACGATCTACAGCAGCCTGACAACAACAATCGAGGCGACCATGAAACCATGCTATGACAGTAAGTCAGAAGATCATTACAGACATATAAATACACTTCTACACATTTTTATGTTGCAAAATGTTTCTGTTTTATGTAGGAGCAAAAGAAATTAAAGGAGATGGCTCGCTGAAAAACATGAGGGAAACTATTGAAAAGCACGTACATAATTCAAAGGACGTCATGTTTGCTCAGGCTAAAGACGCCATGATGGAACAGCTGAGAAACTTGATGGTTTGTCACAATTTATATTTCGTCTTACAGAAATAATTCTTCATTGAAACATGTTGGGCTGCACATATCAATGTTTATCAATGATCTTTGGTCATCATTTACATAACGAATTTTTCTTAATTCAAGATAAATTCAACTAGGAACACTGCAACACAAACATACATGTCCAAAAATGTCAGTGTTAAGTGATAAATATTTCAATGCTGATTTAGTCGGAGATCCTGGAGAAACTGGAGAGCACGATGCAGGAATCAATCGAGCTGTCACTCAAAACAGATGGTGTCTCCATCCGTGGTAAAGGAAATAAATCACAAAAAAATACTGTACATTTGATCGTAATTAAGAAGTCGATACATTTCCATCAGTGTAATAAATGAATCCACTTGTTTGAAACAACATGTTCTTTTTTTTCAGATGTAAGTGAGGAGCTTGAGAAGGTAAACAACTCCTACAATGAACTGAAAAGAACTACCGAAAGCCGAGATGATGATGCAACTCTTTGGTAAAACTCCATTTAAACATAATGTAAAATATTATTGTCTGGATTATGACTTGTTTTCTGAAAATACTAACAGTGCTTTTATTACAGTATTGATTAACCCGGTCAAGCAGCTGCAGTGCGTCCATGATGTGCACAGGTAGGTGTTATTAAACCCGATGGTCCAAACTGTTAATAAGATGTTAATAAGTGTTTGTTATTAATATTCAGTTTCACAACATCACTCTTTGTCTCTCTGGTTTACGTTTCAGGGTTGATCAGTGGAGAGTAACAGCAGACGCCTGTTAACATACCGAGGATAAAAGACATGAGGCCTCTGGATTGGGTCTCAACAATTGTTTTTAGATTCTTATCTCTGTTGACTGTTTTTTATTGTTAGCATAATGTGGTGCCCTAATTCATGTCGTTTTAAAATCCTATTAAAAAAAGCTGTTTGATGAAAAGCTTAGGTTTTACAGCCCATAAAGTAATATCTCCATGTCAATAGTGACCCCCACATCCACCCCACCCCTGCTTTCATGTGCAACAGCATTTTAGTTGTCTGCCAGAAGCTTTCATAAATATGTACTTTTTTATCCAGTTTTCAGCACACTTTTACTAAACACTTTAAATCTTGTTCTTTTTTAACTAACATTATTTTACCTGAGCTCAGGCAACAGGACTTCTAGGCAGATTTATGTCCGATTCTAGGACGACAATCAGAGGTTAACACCTTGGTTTGTACCAATGTTTGGCAATGTAAGAGGACATACAGATCAACTATGAAACGTTAAACCTCCAGAACTGTTTGCAGTTAGTGTTTCCATCAAGGAAACACTAACTTTCAAAGTAAACTACTTTATTCAGTGCTGAACCAGCTTTACTCTCTGGGCCAGTTTGTTTTGGAGAGGAGGAGAGACCTCTGGGAACATTTTGACCATAATGACAAACTATGAGTAGCTATGCTGTCTTTGATTTGTTTTGAATGAGATCCCCCAGTGAAAAAGTCCTCACTATGCCCATGTATCGGAGAATAGATATTGGATCTCAGCCACTGCTGTGATGTCACAGAGACGTTTTGCTTTTAATGATTTAACAGTTGTTTTGTCTTTTTCATATATGTATTTTCTGTTTTGAATCTGTTTTTATTCTGTTTAGCATTGTTTGATAAGTTTAGGCTGAAATTTCAATGAATTAATTAAATCCTCCACATTGATCACAGCACTAATGTAGGGGGATTTTGAGACTATGCTTCTTAAAGAATGATTTTGATCTGTTTTCTCTTATTTTAAAGGACAAAACTCACTGCAAATTAATGTTTTTTGGTGTTTTTTCATTCATATATGAAATCTAGATGATGGCTTATCTGGTTTCTTGTTATTTACTCTTTTTTTCCCACACAAACTTCTTATTGCATACATGTATTTGATGTGGTATACACTCCAATAAACCAATAAAATTCACTTGTATTGTTCATGTTCTTGTTAAAGGATCTATCTGCTCTAAATAAAAACATACATTTCTATTGTTAGATAACAAATTATTTTCAATTTGCTCTCCCTGCCAAACCGGTTCCGCACTAGGGTGCAGCTTTTTAAATGTATAATGAGTAGTAATGCATCATGCTTTTTAATGTCACCAACATGAACTTACTGATTGGTCCCACAGTTTACCACCATTCTTATTAGTTATGTTTGTTTATTTCTGTTTTCTGAAGCAGCAAAGCCACTCTATAAACATACTAATATCTCTTTGAAGCACGAAATGTGACATCCTTACTCAACTTACTCCAGTGTTGAATGTTCCTTACAATAACAACAGTAAACGTTAAATATAAAAGTTGAATGTTAATGTTAGTTTCTCAGTTTGCGTTACCGGCACCAGACCTAGGGGTAATCTGGACCAGCAGCAAGGGTTACACAGGCTAGGGAGCACTGTGTAGCCAACATATAAACAGTGTCTGTGGATTGGTAGAGAGAGGACCAAAGTTAACGTCCTCCTCAGGTCACAGCTTGTTTATTTCTGACATGCACATGATATGAGCTCCTGGCTATAGTCTCCCTAATGGATCCACAGCAGCGCCAGAGCGCCATCTACTGACGTTACAGTATAGTGTCTAAATGTGAGGAGTTCGAAGTGTGTTGGAAAGATTATATTATTAATAAAAAATAGGGGGGTGTCTGTTTAAGTAAAACTCAACATGTAGCATTTCCAACCAGTAAATCTCCCTCTCCATATGGATTAATGACTTTAAATATAGGCCAGATTATAACAAAACATTATCTTAAACTGGATCCTTTGAAACCACATGACCAGAAATGTTGCTAAAACCATAAAACTAAATGAAAGCAAGTAAGAAGAAAAGTATATTGATGTATGTTTATGTACTTTAAAGGACTAAAACAAAATCACTTCTATCAAGACCCACAGCAAAGCATCATGAGATCTTTAACCGTCATATACTCCCCTGCTGCTTCAGTCAAGGTTTCAGTGTAAATACTGTATATCTAGAGCCAAGAAGATTTAAATTCAGAATTTATTTTGGTCATCAAAAAACACTATTTGGCATGAAAAAAACAAAAAAAGGTGTGTCTGTTTTTTTTTATTCATTAATGAGAAATAGAGATCTAGATGATGGCTTAATTGGTTTCTTGTTATTTACTTTTTTTATCCACACCTATTCTTAATGTATTTGATGTGGTAAACACTCCAATGAACACATACAATTCACTTGTATTGTTCATGTTCTTGTTAAAGGATCTATCTGCGCTAGGTTTTTAATAACATACATTTCTATTGTTAGATAATCAAATGATTTCCCATTTGCTCTTGCAGCCAAACCGGTTCAGCACTAGGGTGCGGCTTTTTTAATTTATGATGAGTAGTAATGGAGTCAGTATGCTTTTTAATGTCACCAACGTGCTACTTACTGATTGGTCCCAAAGTGTACCACCCTTACAGAGACCCCATGTCATGTTTCAGAATTCTGTGAGTTCACATTCTAAACTTCTCAATTCTACCTTAAAAGGTAAGAATTATACAAACACTTGACATAAAAATACCCACATGATTGGAGAAAATTACAACTTTAACAGGGAATAGGATAAGGGTTTACATTTCAGACACAAATGCAGTTCAAATTGCATTAAAATAACACATGATTAATTTAGTGTGGGAGGAGTAACGTTCTGCACCTATCAGCGGAAACAAAAGTACTTTAAGTTGCGTTTTCAAGGTTGGGTTGGGCAGTTATTGAGATACTAAGCGAGAGACTCGTTTAACCTGCTTTTGGCTTCATATCAACAGGATGTACGCTACGGTAAGCTTTGGAACGATTCATATTATTTTTGTTTCATTGTTAAGTTTGTAAGTCATGTTCTTATGAAATGAATGGTAATATGTAGTATGTTAATGTGTTAGGGTTTCTTGTTTGGTTGCTACCTTTGCCCCAGGCTCTTGAAAAACACATTAACATTAAATTAGTTTCAAAACCAACGCACGTGTTTTAGTTTGTTTTGTAAGGGAGCTGTATGTTCTTTTTACGTGGTGCTACCTGTCTGTCTGAAGTGACTGCCGATGACTGTCCGCACCGCTGTGCAGGCGACGTGGAGGGAGGGAGGGAGGGAGGGACGTAGGGAGGGTAGAGAGAGCATCGGTTCTTGACAGTCTAATCTCCCGACCTGATATATATATTTTTTATTCAATCAATATATTTTTGGAAAGGGAAACTGTGCGCAGACAGGAGTAGATATATATATTCATTTATTAAAAATAAATATTAAAAAATGACTTTCTCTGGAGGAAGAAAAAGGCATGGGGCTCAAGCCCACTTTGATATATGTGTGCACGTGCCTGGTCGTATGTATGTGTTTTCTGTTTTGTACCATGTTGTTATGTGTTTCTGCTTTAACCCTTAGATGCACGAGTGACTGGACCCACACTCTTCCATAAGTGGGTCTAAAGGGACCCGTATTAGAATAATATGTGTTTTTATGCCATTTTGTCATTTTGGTTAAGAAAAATCACTTGTATATATTTATAATTTTTATTATATTTTGGTTCTATTTTATATTTAATTTTTCACAATTTATAATTTTAGACATTTTTTTTACATTTTGAAAAAAAACGTTTTGAACATATTGATGCAAAGATCTCCGCTATTTTGAGACCCTCACAGTATTCCAGTCCCTTTTCAAAACTCATCTCTTCTCCTCCTGTCTACTCATAGCCCCCCCCCCCCCCATCAATCAATGCCGGTTGATTAAGTTTGATAGTCCTATACCCCCCACCCTAACCTTCCCTTATATTGTAAAGCGATTTTGAGTCCTTGAAAAGCCCTATACAAATATAATGTATTATTATTATTATTATTATACTGACAGGTATCAGATCTTGCTGTGTAAAATAATCTTCCTGAGAGGTGTCACTTGTGATGTAGTCTGTGTGGTCTACAGTGAATGTATTCCTGACAGCCACAGGTGATAAGAATCAAAGGTTCCCATAGGATTCCATAGAAAATGCATGCGGGTCATTTTTGACCCACTTATGGAAGCTTGGGTAATACAAAAACTACAATTTCTTAAAATGTAAATTTAAAATGTGAATGGCATGATATCCAAAACATGTTTTTTGAGGAATAGCTGGAATATGAAATGATAAATTGTAATTACAAAGATACTTCAAGAAAACCACCTCACCGGGTCCAAAAAGATCCACTTGTGCATCTAAGGGTTAAATAAATACAAATTGGAACACAGAAAAAAACAAGAAACCACGACCTTAAAGTCATGTTACTCAACCAAATATTAAAGTGTCATTTAGCAGAAAAGTATCCCAGAGGTATAGGCATATTGTTCGGGAAAAACAACCGCATTGAGCATTTCTGATTTGGCCCTGAATTTGATTATCTTATCCCATTATATTATATCATTAGATTAGTATTATTAATGTTACTGTTTTATTTGGGTGGAATCAACTTTTGTAGCCTTCTAGACGGTTATAATCACTTTGTTTGGACAGCAAACACTCTGAAAAAAGTAAGAAAGCTAACATCTGAGAATCTGGAACCATAACATTTTTACTTGAACATTTAACCAAACAATTATCAGAAAAGAAAATTGCCAATAGATGTTCTGGCATAGAGTAGTTCATGATGCAGATGTTAATGTCAGCTGTACTTGTGTTTGACAACAATTGATCTTTTATTCAGAATACATTTTTTTATGTTTCATAGACTCCATTCCACTGGAAAACTTGAAAGCTCATGTTTCTGTTGGGGTGTAGATGAATGAAAATAGCAGGTAAATAAACAGCCAAGCAGGCTCTCCTATAAACGAATTTCTGACATTTGTACTCAGTTATTTGTGCTTATCTTGTGATCGCACAAATATGTCCTACATGCTTCATATACACATTTAAATTAGGCTGCCATTATCACTTCAATAACCCTTTATTTTTCTATTAAAATATCATAACTCTCACAAGTAGTTATTTTGTTGATTAAAACAATTATTTGTTTACTTTCCAGTTGCTATTCTTAATCATGGATGATTTTGTTTGCAACAAATTAACTGAATGGAATCTCAGCGAATGGATACAAACATTTAAAGGTAAAGTATTCCCTTGCTTTTTGTTGGGCAAAAATATTATACAAAGTCGATATGACCTTCCAATACTGAAATATCTAAGCGTCGACTTGAAGACACATAAACTGCCTCAACATCGTTACTCAGTAACTTTCTGACATATCCCTGACATACTTAAACAATCTTAAAGACTTGTACATTTTCACACAGA